TTGGTTAGCTGAATAGAACAGTGTTTTTCGCATATCGAGCGCTATCCTTATAATGCCGTCTATTTTTAGGCCCGTTTTGGGTTCAAGTAAGACTTTTTTCCAGCCTCATTAGCTAATTCATCTTTTTTGAGCCAACGAAAGTAGCGTACGCAGACGCATTATCATGCATGAGGTTTAGAGATCAATTCCTGCCCATCGTTCTCGTCCGGACTAAAGGCAAACAAAGTTGATACTAAAACTGGGTGACAGGCATTCAGAAAAATAATCGTGAAAATACGATCGCGTAATTGCAGACACTTTCTGAGTGGGGGGACTGCAATTGTGTGAAAAAAGGGAATTATTTTTTTTTTGTGAAAAACAACTTTTCAATTGGATCTCCATTGAAGCGGCAGTGGAATGGAGTGGGGGATGACTGTCATCAAACAACAACGACGATATCAATGACATTTCATGTAATCGTCAAACATTTCACAGCTCTGAGCTGGCATCACAGTTGCAATCCCTCCATCAGATCGCTTTCAGATCTGTTTTCTTTTTCAGAACCCTAATTTCTTCCTTTTTTTGAGAGCGCCCTTCTGCAGGAGTTGGCTCTCTCTCTAGCCTCTAATTAGGAGCTCTCACATTGAGCATGTCGCATAAGTAAAGAAATTAATAGATACAAACTCCAAAATTATTTGGCGTCGATCAACCCCTTTCGCCTGAATGCGCCGTGCCCTCGACTTCCAGTGAAATCGTAGTTTATTTGAGTGCGCATGTAGCCCCTACAAGAATTGCGATAGCCAGCTGGTGTATAGTCAAACCTTTTATCCTCAAGTCAGTCACGAGTCTGGTACTAGTTCACCGATCCACGAGGGATGGAAGGCCTGATACACCTGGTTGGACCTATAAGGATATCTTTCTGGGATTCGATCCATGGAACATGCATGTGGTATAGGTCCTTAGCGGCCCCGGCCAAAGAAGTGAAGTGGTTAGTAGGAATGAGTTGGTTCTATGGAAAAAACCCTCATAATCACCAAGAGAAATCACCGGGTCGCTCACCAACTGTTGACTACGAAGTCCAGTGCCTTCCAGTTGAATCCGTGTCGGTATAAGCCAAGGTGGTCATGTTATGTAAGTGATCGTCAATCACTGGGGTATGAATGGGACCATTCTTTCGCTATCTCTGCACTTAATCAGCACTTAGTCGTCATGTGGTGCTGTAATATTTCTGATCGTAGAGTCTTAAGCGCCCCATTTCAATGTCTTTAGCTAGTTATTTTAAACTTCGCAATACAGATGTGAATCGGCCTCATTCTGATCGCTCTTAGCACGGGTTTGAATCCTGGATTGATTTCCGCCTAGGCCAAGCAAACCTTCTATTTCTCCGGGCTCAGTTAATTGGTACCAGACTCGTCTGGGAGGATAAAAGCTTTGACTTGTACATCGGCTGGCTACCACAATTCATTTTCTAGACTTCTTACGCATCAATACCCCACTACGATTCTGAGTTGGAGTCGAATGCGTGGCGCATCCCTTAGACGGCGCTGGTTAATGTCCCAGAACTTCATCTTCTATCGTTTATTATTGTCGGAACTTGCAAGGGAATCTGGTTTGATCATTGACTGGCTCCCAAAATATATAGTCAATTAGGCAATCTTATAATTACTGAGTAGTTTACTTTTACTTTTTTTTCGATTTGGGAGTTTCTCTGTGTTTCCTCATAGCTTGAACCTTTTTTGGACCTGAGTGTAGTCGAAGTGACAATTGTTGGAGCCTCCATGGGGAGTCAATGGCCCATTGACTAGCTGCTTTTGATTGCGGCCATTGCATACAAGGGGCCGGAAGTCGCGGTATTCTAGTTACGAACTTTGATCAACAATAGCTCAATAGCTCAATAGCTTAGCTCCCTGGCAACAGGAGTAAAGTAACTGCTCAGAAAAGCTCTCAGAGCTTTAGACCTCCGAATTCTCTCCAGATAGTCAAAGAATAAGTAAAAACCTCACAATGTTGATTCTCTCTGGTCATCAGCTCCTTCTACGACTTAAACTTGAGCAGCATACATGGCGCATCACTAAAGTGTTGGTTGACCCTGGCCAAAGGGTTGTTTTTCCCTGTCAGCCTTTGAGGTTCCACTAAGCGCGTTTCTTTTGAAGGTAACCATTTTACTGCTTGACAATGGCGCGTTATAAAGCAGAATTTGCGTGATTCAGTGGGCATTTATAGCGACTATCCAGTAAATTGTTAGGTACTCATGTGAATTCTCAGCTCCCATACCATGCACCCTAAGCCCTACTCACTCTGACCTAATTATTTGCTATCTCATAGATTCACATTCTCATGCAGCAACCAGTCCATTCCTCGTTCTTCACGACGAGCTCATTTCCGCCAATGATGAATGGCCCACCTGTTCAGATATTTTGTGGCCAAGTATATGTATGTTGTTCCATCACTTCAGCCACCTACTTCTAGCAGATCCACCCTATACTCGATATTTCGGTCTTGATCCAAATCGGCATCAATTTGTGCATCGCTCCTCTGGATCTGAAATCGATGATAATATTGACTAATATGTCTGTTTATCCCTTCACTTTGTTATTCTATAGTAACCTACTCGAGGTCCTGACTTTTTCCATTTTGTTTTTTGCCTCTGAAACGGATCGCCCCTTTGTCACTTTTGTTCAAAGTTCCANTGATTGCTGTTGAAGATGATGATCGAGACGTTCCTAAGCATGGCGCGGTACCTTTCACCGCGCCATGATGACGACTGGTGCGACCGGCTTCACTACCTGATTACACCTAACATACTATTTGCATTTTCTGTACTGATTTCATTCAAACAGTTTGGAGGACGTCCGATTGAATGCATGTTTCCCAATAAATTTCCTGGCAGTTGGGAACAGGTTAGAGCTTCTTCGAATCTATCTTGATCAGACACACCTACTGTGGCTCATACCTTAGCCAGAAATCACTCATTTGAGTTTGAGCAAAGTTACCCTGTCAGAAGAACGAGTAACTGAGGGATGACCTGCAGTTTCTTGGTAGACTATATTTTGATCCTTTCCATTTTGAGGCCTCACTGATTTGGGCTAGAAACTATAAGGCTGCTTCTGTAGCTGATGAGTTTTCCGAACTTGGGGACGACACTCGATGAAACCAACAAATTTGAAAGTTCTAAACCTAGTCAGTGACTTCAGACAGGATGAAATTTCCGTGGAGAACTTCCATGGAGCAGAAAAAAAGGAGAAAGTTGAAGGCGTTGGGGGACGGAAGCCTGAGGGCAGCGGAGGTGAGCCATATGAAGGAGCTCACTACTGTCGCGTAGAATTCAGCTTGAACTAACGCATTCTGGAGGGATAATGGATACTTTCACGCTGATTGCTGGGGTTTTATGGGGACCTTTTGCTGCTTCTTAAAAATAACCAAATGATTTACAGTACGCCGAGAACTACTGTTGGTCCCAAGACACCTACTTCGTCGAGCCGCAACAACATGTAGAACTATTAAAACAAGATCAGAGGTAGGAATATTTTGTATTACTATTATATTGGAGTATCCGGAGGTGAGCTGAACTTATACAACCCCTTCACATATTTCTGATCGAATGGCTTTCTTTTCCTTTCTTGGATTTTTCCCACTGTTTCCGTAGTCTTCGTTGAATAGGGAAATCAACCTCCACCTTCCGAATCTTTGGATTGGAGAAAGCCGTATTTTCTACGACTATTGATTGAAGGGCGTTATATTGAACAAGATCAATTCCTGATCGATATTTCCTTTTTTCAGGTACACTCCTGAAAGACAACTATCCTACTATCAATGGGTGCCATTCTTCCTGTTGGTACAAGCCGTATTCTTTCGAGCACCGAGCTTCCTCTGGAAGACCTTCTCCAACCATTCCGGTTGGTGGTTTTTTTCGCCTTCTAACATTTATTTTTTTCAATTGAAAACTGATGCCTGATCCTGACCTAATTCTTCGAAATGGGGAGGGTCAGCGTCGGTTACTTCGCTCTTGGACTTTTTGCCCATTTTTTCTGAATTCGTACTGGGTGTTGCTGTTGAGATTCTAGTGAAAGTTGAATTGAACCATGCTCAGGAATCCGAATGCACGAGGTGGTGGAAAAGGCAAAGGATTCAGCAAATGTCGAGGAGGAAGTCCGGCAGAAGAATATCGGCATTCTGGCCCGGCATTTGCAAAATGCCCTGCGGTTTAAACGAAGAATGCAAAAGAAAAAGGTAGAGACCATTATCTAAGCATTGAGAGCTGATTCATCGTTTGTTTCCTTGTTTGTTTGTTATTTATGTCTATGTGCACATAAGCAGATCTTTATTTAGGTTATTGTTCACAAGACAGTCACCTGCCTCAATTACCAGTACTCATCCGGTTTTGTATCAGCAGTTTATCTTTTCACAAAAGCCTTATATCTGGTCAATGTCGTGGTACAGCTATGGTTAATGAACAAGTGAGTTTAGTTGGGCATATTTAAAGAACGTGATTTTTTTTGAGGAAGGGTAGGAAAGGAAAATGCAAGGAAGAGCTGGATTTCAGTGGTGTGCGCCACGCTTTCAGTTCCTTTTTCGGCTGTAGGACGATTAAAAGGCCTACTTAGTCTGGAGATTGGCAGAGAGAGAAAAAGCACCTCCTCCCCCTCCCCTTCCTAGACAGTCTTAAGAAATTAGAAATCTTCCACGGTTTTGACTATTCCCTTCTGGAAAGAAGGTTTTCTTATTTTCTCAGATTTCTCGGCACTAAC